ATTATTCACCTTCTGAATAGCATATACTCTAAAGTGGTTTAAATTTGATAAATTTGTATCAAAAAGGTACGAAATTTTATCTCAGTAAGAATATCTCTAACCTGACCAACACTCATGATGATCACCATTAGCAAGTAGACGAAGTGAAATCGATTACAACTCAATGATTGAACATTATGTCGACATCTCCATCCTGCAGAACAATAATCTTGGAGAGATAACTTCAGAGTCACAGTCTAATCTCCTAGTAGAGTAATATGAGCTGGTATATCACGAAGAATGTAAGATCTTGGAGGACTGCGACTACGAATTACTGATATGTGACAATCAATATAAAACCAAAGTTCGCTGACTGACTACAGTGTTTAAAACAGTGAAAAATGATTTAAAACAAGTCTACATACATTTCAAAATGTTACCGAAATAACTGGGTGGTAACCTTAAATTACACTGAATCATAAAAACCTACCATTAACAAAAACCAATACATATACTTTCCACATTTCAATGTGTGAATAATCGAATTCCTGTATCAAACATAGTTTAGAAACATTTGCATTCTGATCATTGGAAACCGTAATTTAAATGAATATTTATTATTGAAGTCATGAATGGATATTTTATGGATAACCATTAGAAACCTGCAAGTACTGGACATCCGTTTCGTTTAAGGTAGCGACTCATCAGCAGTGAACGCTTCAGACCTCGTCATCACGAATAAAACCAAGCACTTTTAGTCTCATGCGTGAATGCCTAGCCTCTTGACTATTGGGTCGTTATTCAAAGGTATCATTGTTTACCTCCAATTAATTCATGATACTGCACGAACATCACCTGTTGTTTTCGTTGAGTAACTGCATTCCACCTGACAGTGATCAGAGCTTCTCACTATAACTCCGAGAATTTACTCACTGGTGAGCACATAACAATAGCCAGTATTGGGTTAGGGAGATCATTAAGGCCTATATTAGGATGAAACAGCCGTACAGTGCTTCCAGATTTCTAGTGGTGGTTAAACACGGACCAGTCCATGCTTTCAATAAAATTCAACAATCTTCACAAGCCTATACTGACCAATATACTTGAGCAATAATTTTCTTGGTAACTTAAATGTACAAATATAAACCTATGTGATCTTATGGCCGTAAATTGACAATCAATATTGCTAAGAAAGCTCCTCGTTGTCATCATATAAATTATATTATACGGAATCCTGGTAATGCTTTCAAGTTTTAATCGATCTCGGAAAACGTGGTACAGTAGACACAATAGTCAGCATATTTTGATAAAATAACGAATATCGTTAATTTGATCTTCCCGTTTGGTTAAGATATTCTTTAATCATTTTTTCACAGTACTAGTCATTTACAGTGCTTCTAAAAGGGTACTATTCGTGTCATGTATTCATGTAAACTCTCATTAAATTTTTAGAATGATTTTTATTATTTACCTCATGAAGTACTCCCTTTGTAAGAACAACTCAAGTTCAGATAAAATTGCTAAAGTTAATGAAAGCACAATTTTTTTCGATAAACTGAATACACTTATCTTTTAATTATTTGTTTACATCTGCTGCTTGTTTTGTAATCTAACATAGATAAACCAATCAGAGGTGGCCGAACCAGAAGGTCATTTGATGATAATTATAAATGTCCTACAGGACAAACATTTATCATTGGTTAAAAGATGAAATCATTTTCTAACAGAAAGGAACGTATCTATATAAATGAGTTTTCATGTTTATTATTCGGTATCCAATTATAGTTTCTCCCTAACTCTTGACTTCTCGCTCAAATAGCCAGTTTTGAGAGTTAGCGTGTATCACGTTCGGATCTCAAACGTTGTATGCTACGACAAAATCCTAGCTGGTTGTAGTCTGTATTCTCTTGTTCCATTTCAGGTCTCCGAGGCATTTCAAATACGTCATTCTCTTGACCTCCTTAAACTATTATTTTTAGCTATCAACTGTAGCAACTTCCAGGCGATTCTTCACTCCTTACCAATTAACAGCCATTCACTATACTTCATCGAACGAACAGAAAAATGATGGGTAATCCTTAACATTGAACAATGTATGAATTCAAATGACTAAGATTTTATCTCAATAAAAATTCTAGAAGTGAATGAAATCAATGTTTTTTATCAGCGAACTACGTCTCAAATTCAATTACCTAAAGCTTGATTATCATTGGTCTACTTTGATGGATTCACTTACATCTGACCTTGACAGGTGTGTATTTGATCAATAATTCGATAAAACAATGAATCATCACGTGGTTTTTTTACACGTGCGCTATTCAAATGCAGTTTAGATGACGTCAGACTTGGTGAATGAAGCATACCAGAAAAAATTTAAAAAATAACGATTTTTCTTTTTCTTTCTAGAATTTTTTCCATAACTAAGATTACATTGATTTTTTTTTCATTGAAAAAATCAATTTTACATGAAGACGCTGAAGTTTTATATTGTCAATTAACTTTAAAAAGTATAGTTAATATGAGAATCACTATTGTTTTCTACTTTCTAATAGACAGTTGTTAAAGGTAGGTACTGTCTATGCTTAATTCAATCGAGGCGCTTTTTGATATGTTTTTCACTTAGATCGTCATCAAACTTTACTCTCTAAAATCAATGATTATTTATATGAAAAATGGTTTAAACCAATCAAGGCAGTTTATTATGAGTCAATAATCACAATGACATAGAGAATACGTAACTGCACATATTAAGTAAAAAGTACAAGTCGATAATATGAAAGAGAGGTGTACTATTGGAAGTGGTCGTGTGGTGTGAGCTACTAATAAGTAGTATATGACGTGAGTGTCAACGTAATGTCTGGCAGCAGAAGATGGGGAAAGATCAAGAAAGGAAGAGTTAGAATACAATGGAATTTGTATGAAACGCATGAATAGTGACAATGGATTGATGTTTTGCAACAGGAACGGTCTAGTTCGATATGATGAACTGTTATTTTGCAAATTAATGATTTACGCTATGGTTTTCCAATTTTACTGAGTAGCTCTGTAATTTTCATTAAATACAATCCGGCTGTCCCACCTGTGTTCTCGTTTACTACAGTATGAATAATAAAATACAATTAGAAAGGTTTTTGTCAATAGTTTAATATTGGAATTAGTATTAGGTCAAGCTTGGATAGATAGACTTCAAAAATTCATTACCAAGCTCTATTAATGTGTATTTACGAAGTCAGTTGCACCAGCGTACTAACGAATAACTTAACCAACGAATTAAACAACATTTCCCAGCATAGTTTGAAAAGGGCCATTTACAGACAATACTTAGCTCTGTCTTAGCACACCTGATCGATGGTGGACATAAAATGGGTAAAACAAAATCATTCCCAGTGATCTGGCGAAAACTTCCATCATTTCCCAATGGATTTTGATCCCTTCTCCTAAACATGTAGCAAAAGCCATAGGAATAAAAACAATCAACCCCAGTTTATATGTTCTGACGAAATTCATGACACCCTCTGTCCCCGTTCTCTGGCCAAATATAACTTTATAAATGATTTGATTTTATTACTATTGTCATTATTTTTACATCCTGTATTTGTCTGTAATTCTATCGCCCCCTTCCGTTCATATTCTTCTTCATTATCTAATGATTTACAAACTTCTTATTACGTAATTCTATTTGTGTTTTGTGATCATTGTTTTAAGTCTATTCATCACAGATTTTCCTACTACTACTACTACTACTACTACTACTACTACTACTACTACTACTACTACTACTACTACTACTACTACTACTACTACTACTACTACTACTACTACTACTACTACTACTACTACTACTACTACTACTACTACTACTACTACTACTACTACTACTACTACTACTACTACTACTACTGTGGTGCGTGCTACTTATAAGTAGTATATGACGCGAGTGTAAACGTAATGTCTGGCAGCAGAAGATGGGGGAAGATCAAGAAAGGAAGAGTTAGAACACAATGGAATTTGTATGAAACGCATGAATAGTGAAATGTCAGACAATGGATTGATGATGGATTGAAGATTTGCAATATGGTTTTCCTATTTTACCAATTAAATCTGTGTTCTCATTCACTACACTACTACTACTACTACTACTGCTACTACTTCCACTGCTACTACTTCCAATCTCGAACTACTAACAAAATGACTTTTGTTATTGTATTTCTTTAGGCTTACCAACGCTAATAGTACACCTGCTTTCCATTGTGTCAACTAGTACTTTTACCTATGATGTGTAGTTACGTCATTTACTTCATTGTGATTATTGACTCATAAAAAAAATTGTCTTCGTTATTTTAAAAACTTTATATTAATCGTCATTGATATTAGCATAGTGAGTGTAATTTTGATTGAAGATCTTTTAGATCCATTCTATAAATGATTCATATAAACTAAGTGTGGAAACTTGAGCTAACATAATTTTCCGGTACAAATTTGTTTCTGTTAGGATATTCATACAATATCCTAAGAGAATTATTGGTCAATTCCTAATGGTTAATTCCAACTAGTCAAGTTTATGGTCGTCCTAGATATCAATGTCACGTGCTCCAATGTTGTTTCTTATTGGTTGTCCTGAGTGTCAATGTCACTTCAAATGTTGCTCCCTATTGGTCGTCCTAGCTATCACTGTCACATACTTCAATGTTGTTTCCAATTTGACCTAAGTGTATAAATACGCATCATCTGTAACGCTTTTATGACCCAGACCCGGAGCCGGATCCCTAGTTTGGGATCCTCATTCTCTTCTGAACTCCGACCTCTTACTTTCTGGATGCTTGTAGAATACATGTTCTTGTTCATATCAAGTCTTTTTTTTACTCAATGTGGGTTTGGGACAATCGGATTAGAGTAGCATGTCGTGTAGCCGGATCTTCGTTCGCGCGTTTCCGACTACGTAAACTCGTACTAGTTCAAGCATATCAAGTTGACGTATTTATGCGCAGGCGTAACAGTTTCTACTGTCATAACAGAAGAATGAACATAAATGTGCACAATAAGCATCTTGATTGGCCAGACCTGATCGAAAATTCTAGTCAAAGTTTTACACATATTTTTTAGCGATGAGAATACAAAAGAGGACTGAAGATTTTTTGAAAAGATAACACAGTTGCCTAACTTTAATGTCACTGAACTACTCAAACAGAAGCATCGGATTTCTTGGCATCTTTTTCTATTTGTTTGTCCCGTGATACGGACTGTTAAAAAAACAGAAGTCAAGACTTTTCTCTACAATTTCAATGTATATCAATGAGATGTCTGTTGCTGTATTCTGGAGTCTTCCGCAGTTATTCACCAGTTTTGATCAGCTAGAAATGGGCTAATCAATGTGCTTCCAAATAACCCAGCATAGAAAATGCTTTGTACAAACCATAATTTACTAACAAGTGTAGTTCACTAAGAAAGATAAGCTACTTTGTCAGCTGTCAGTAGATGGTCGGTTGTTTATTATTATTGAGAACTCAATAGATAGAAACGGGTGAAGGTACTGGCTAATGATTTAGGTTAGGAGTAAGGTTTCGGTTCAGAATAAAAGATCGTTTTGTGGATATAATTATGGATAGTGTAGGATATAGTCAACTGAATTAGGTAGGATCTTTTAAACTTTAAGGTTAGTTTGGTAATCCTATAAGTTGTGTGAAAATATTAATCACATACTTCTATTTGGGTTCTATAATTTTATTTTAGTGAGAGAAGAATCAGGTCTCATTGTTGTTTTAAGCATGGCTTAACTCTTTCCGTGTTGTTGGTTTTGTTAATATGTGTTGTAGAAACTAAATTATGATAGGTTCTATTCAGTTCATACACATCTCTTAAAATGTCACATTAATTAATTTTGAATTTCGCGCCAAAATCCGCAAAGCGAAATCTTAAATCTGATTGGTTTGTTGACAAGATTATGTTTTCGTTAAAATAAGAGTACTATAGTAGCTTTAAATTCAAAACAGATATATTCTCAATGCCAAGAGGTTTTTAGAGATGACTAACTTTGACCATTCACAAAATAAACTAAACTGAATTAGACCATTGGATTAATGAATCACTGTTTATATATTCAATGTTCGAAAGGTTAGGCAATCATTTTGAGATTTCAAGGCTCCTTGCTCGACTCTCTGTGAAGTCGAAGGTGTACAGTACTAGGGTTTTTATATACGAGGACAAAAAAACCATTGAAAACATTGTTTCCAAAATGGTGTTTAAAAGTGTACTTTCTAAACAGTGGAAGATCTGTTTGGTTAAAACGTAAAAATTATCAGATTTAAAAAAAATAATAATATCTACTACACTGACAGTTTTGATCATTTACTGTACACAGTGTAAATCCTTATCAGGTTACACTCTCTTTAGTCCGAATCTGAAACAATAAAAATTGTGAAGCAGTGCCCACAGAAGCAGATCTATGAGGTTGAAAAAACATTGTGGACTGATTGATGTTAGACACTAACACCGTC